ATATATATAATAGGGTTATAATTACACCGATGTAATTTTTAGTAAGTATTACATCGCTCAATAACTTCATATTAAATGTAAATTTTGTAAATACAATCGTTAGATTGAAAGTTCATATCACTTTATACATGTATATCAAATTTTGTTAAAATTGAACAACGACTTGAAGGTAATCAAAGTGTTCATATTTTAATACATTTTAAAATGAATATATTATGTCAATTTTATTTTATAAAAATAAAGTATCAAATTATCTTAGATTATAATTACATCGGTGTAACTTTTACCAAATATTACATTGCTCAATAACTTTATATTAAATGTGAATTTTGTAAATCCAATCGTACATATAAAATCATATAAACTTCCAATCTAACGGTTAGATTTACAAAATGCACAATTAATATAAAATTATTGAGCAGTGTAATACTTAGTAAAAATTACACCAGTGTTATTATAATTCTATATATATTTGTGAAAGCAATGATATGGTTTTGAGTGTTTGATTAACACTCACTCTATAAGAACTGATTTTTCCATATACCAACTACCCATCTACACATTCATGATGGTATGTGCTACTACCGTTGCTTGGGAAACATTCAATATTATTTGTTAGTATCATTACAATCAAAATAATAAGAAGATAATGATTCTTGAACAGAGATTCGTAATGGGGAAGATAGCCATGATTATCTATTGATGCATTGGAGAGAAAGATTAACATGACAATCATGATTCATGATAGCTAATTAATTAATTAATTCACTCCACATTTTGGTGCTGCTCCTTATGTGGGTCTCCGTGCCGTTATGGATTTTCTTTGTGGCATTCTCCAGTATCCAAAACATTTAATACTTATCATGCACAAATAAATTATCCCAAGAATCGGATCCTCATATAAACATTAAGAAGGAGTGGCCTTTCCTTTAATTCCAATGTCAACAGCTTGTAATCAAAACGAGGGCAGACATGAAAAGGTCACACCCATAGGAGCCCAAGGTATTGAAATTTCAAACAAAGCCCCATTATAATGAAGGCAATGTCTTTCAATCTAATAAGCTTTTTTAATCTTTTCTTTTTCAAATGTTTATTTGATTCAATTTTTGTGTAATATATCCTTCAGAGTTTAATATGTCATGTGGTATTATGTAGAGAAATTCTTAGATGTTCCACTCTAATTCATTGGGTGTACTCTATCTAGCTAGAAAGATTAGTGAAATCTTGTTCTGAAAGTTACCATTGATAAATGTAGACCATTCCAACCTAGTAATTGTATATGTTGTTATAGAGGACGTTATGATAAATAAGGCTTATGTTGTGGGACAATTGTCAGGTTCATTTGAAATCTTATTGAAGAATTCCGGTATGGAGTTAGGTAAGCTTACCCGATGGGACAGGACAACATTAGATTTATTAGGGAGACATTTATTTAAGTTTTTTGAAAAGTGTAATTTCTGGCATGTGTAAAAGATCTTTTAATAAAAATTTACATATTTTTAAAATAATTATTATAAAAATTACTAATTTATCATTTGTGATAGATTATAATTCGATGACTTTATAAAAGTGTTTTACATTTTTAATGTATTATCGCTAAGCTCTTTATACATTTCATAAAAACTACAACTTCCCTATTTTTTCATTTTAATAAATAAAAAATGGTTGTATTTTTATTACTATCTTTGTCTAAGTATATAATACCCTTTTCACTTTTTTTTTCTCTCTTATTAAAAGACTCTCTTCTAATTATTAAATACATTAGTTATATTTTCTATAAATATTTTTATTTAATTAACAATTTTTTTAGATAAAAGGTAATAAAAGCTTGAAATTAATTAGATAAAAAAAATATCTCTCTTGTTAGAATGAAAGAAGATAAATAGGCACATAATATTTCTCTCTTCTAAACGGTGATTAATTATTAGATGATAAATGATTAACTGAAAAGAGAAAATGTTAATTGAAAATATATTAAGGATAATTTTATAAATAAAAATTTATATTATTGAAAAATTTAATATTTTTAACTAAATTAATTAATTTTCTTAAATTGTATAATTTAGTTGAAAGAAAATTATAATTAAGAATAGAAGTAGTATTAATGAACCAATACATATATTTCTTTCTATTACATCCTTAATTATTTATTGTGGAGGCAAAAATATAAAATATAAATGAGACAATATAATTAATATAAAATATAAATGATATATACATATTTTTATAATAACTTTTATGAAATGTAAAATATTAATTACATTTTTTAATGCATGTGCAAAACTTTATATGTCAAACAAATTAATTTGCATATATTCAAAAGTATATATTTATTATAAATATATAACTTTATTTTTAATTATTAGTATTTTTAAAAAAATGTTATAATTTAATTTTAAAACAAATATGAATATGATATATTAAAAAAAAGTATTATTCTAATTTAAATAAGCCTCTATTTGAATAATGTTTTCTAGAAATAGATTAAATAAGCCTCTCTTCGAAGAATATTTTCTAAAAATATCCAATTCAATAATATAGATATAAATATAAAGTATTCTAATATATACATATAAAGAGTTTTAGTCATACTTTTATTTGAAGTTATTCAAAACTATTTTTAAAAATAATTTTAATTTAGTTTTATTTAATTTTGGAAAAAATTAATCAAACATGTTAAAATAATTTCTGCGGTGTACAAAAAACAAAAGTTCAGCCAATCAAAAAATCTTGAAAAGGAAAATACCCTTTTCACCCCCATGGAAACCATGGTTTAAACATTAAAGAAACTCACGAAAAAAATGAGAAGAAATTTGCTTAAAATAGGTAGTACAGCATAAACTTGATTTGCTATGTATCTAGTGGTGTGAGAGAGTGCACACGAAATTTGGTTAAGATGAGAGTTGTGTTGGCATTTGAAAGAAGAAGAGTGTGATGACGACACGGCAAGCTTTTGGTTCCACACATAGAAATGTGAAGAGAAACAATGCAAAGTGCAAACACATAGAAATGTGAGAAATGTGAAAGCAACTTGCCTACAGATATATTCATTCACCTTCATCTAGAATTCCTTGACTTTTTGATCCCTCTTAATTCTCTCTCATTTAAACCAACAAATTAATGCCTCCCCTTCACCCCCAACTATGACGTCCCTCATCACATCACCTTAACCTCTGATTTCAAACACAACACACACACACACACATATATTCCTATTTTTCTCCAAAACAACACAAACAGCAACAAAGAACCAAAGCCATGCTTGATCCCAGGACACACCACCCCACCACATGGGAATCCACGAACTCCGGTTTCTGGCCATCAAAAGCACCTTTTGAGGAGGTTGACGATTCCGGGATATGTTCACCGCGCATGTGGGCCACGTCGAGGACCCAAGCCATCATGAGAGGTCAAAGGGAACTCATGGAGATGGTGAAGAACATGCCTGAGTCCAACTATGAGCTCTCCCTGAAGGACCTTGTGGAGCACCACAGGGTGGAGGCTAGGCTCGAGAACAAGGTGGAAGAGAGGGGTTTGAGGAGGGGCAAAGGTGGTGGTGGTGGTGGTAGTAGGAAGGTGGCTCAGGTTAAGACAAAAGGGAACATTGATCGTGGAGGGTTCTATCTCAAGATGGTGCTTCCTTTTTCTTTAGGATCTAAGGATAAGAAGAAGGTGAAGAAGAAGAGTGAGTCTTCTGGGAATAGTAGTTCCAGGGTTACTCCTAGACTTTCTGATGGATCCGCAAAGGGTGGTGTTGATAATAAAGAGTGGTGGAAGAAGAGCCCTGCGCCGGGTAGAGAGACTGATAGTGGCGCCTCAAGTCTCAATAGTGAGAGTGCCGAGAGTTCTCGTAGTAGCAGTAGCAACAGCAGTAGCAGGAGTAATAGCAGGTATGTTGTTGTCTTGCAATTTTTTTTTCTTTTGGCTTCTTGTGTTGAAATGATATTGAGAGAAACCAATTCCTAAATCGAATGAATTTATTTGGGTGAACTGAACTTTGGTTTGAGTCATGATCAGTTAGCAATTTAATTATAAAGTGGATGAACTGAGAAAAACTAAGGACAGAAATAAGTTTTTTATAGGTGCTTTTGATGTAATTACATAAGGTGATTTTGGTGTTTATTCTTTAAGCAAAATTAAAGTTGTCTCCGCATGCACATGATAAATTTTTTTTTATTACAATTTCAATTCTGATTAACAATACTTACATAGCTTGATATAAGATCCTTACATAATCTATGTTGTTTTTCATGTAAGAAAAAAAAAATTTAGACACCTCGTATGGTACAGGTAGATAGATACCTTGACAAAGATGGGAAGAGAAGAGACAAGTGATCATATGACTGATGATGTGATATGAAAAAAAGAGATAAAAAAAAAGTTGTCACTTGAGTGTTTTGTAAATTTTGGGTGTGTAAATTGCAGAAGAGTACTAAAAGCGTCTAAGAAACTTCATGGTTTTGGTCAAAAACAAAACGGAAATTAAGGCTTATAGAGATTGAAATTTTTTATTTGTTGCAGATTGAACATACTAAAAGCTATTCACAGCCATAGTTTCTTAATGGAAGTTGAACCTTGTAGATTTTCCCATTGGTTGCTTGGTTATAATCACAACTAAGATCAGAACATTCAGTTTTTACTCCCTCAAATTTAACTGTTTCTTAGGAAATTAAATATATTTCCTTGAAACTTGAGAAAATATCAAGGTGTCTCGGTTGTTGCATTCATTTCAGCCCAATACGTTGATAACTGAAAAAGTCAAAGGAAAAGTTCAACCCTTAAAAAAAGTGGCAACACGCCTTGTCGGGTTGATTGATCTTGCTTTTACATCGTATCCTCGTTGTGCCACTGTCAATCCGTGACAGTGTCACGGTTAAAGAGGCCATGGCACCTCCTTACAGTGCTTCTTTTAAGAACTTTAAGAAGAAAAGAGGGGTTATGTTAAGTGGATGCTGTAATGTTCAGTGTTCAAGTCGTTACACAAAGTTAAAGGAGCAACAACTAGTTACAATTATTTTCGTCCAATACTTCTGATTAAACACGGAATTGTTGTGAAGCAACCAAGTGTCTACTTTGAATAACGGAAATTGGGTAACCACTAACCAATTATGTGTAATAACTACATATAGCTTGTGAATAGTACATAGTAAATCTAGACCTACCAATCACACTTAATTTCAACTTGAATATGTGTTAGTTATTAATCAGTGATTTTCATTAGTTTCTAATTAATTCTTGGATGTGATGCAGGCGTGAGAACAGTGGTAGGCGTTGCTGGCCTTTCATTCGAAGACTCAAAAGACAAACACAAAAATAATTAAGATATGCTAGCTTGTGATGGAACACAGTGCTCTATGATCTGCATGGGAAGCTTTCTTTTCATAAACTCCTCACAAGTTTGAAGTTTTCCCTCAAGTCTTTTGATAACGACGTAGTGCCATGTAACTTTTTATGAATGGAGGTTATTATTCACATTGGAATCTCGTAAGATTGCATATCGTGAGGATGTTCTGTAAAAATATATCACTGTGCTTCATGTAATTAAGTTTTTCTGATTCTCAAAACATGATATAAGGCAAATACAAGCAGGTATGCATGCCAAGAGAAGATTAACCAAGTTTCAAATTTTTATATAAACCCTCAGAAGAATACCAAAACATTTTATGTTGGCTTGGATCCCATAGTTGATTGAAACAGATGTTACTTTTAGTTATAGATTCCAGGGTGATCCATCAACTTTGTTCTGCGACGGAATTTGGCTTCTCTTCTTTAAATACAATATTTTTAAGAATTATCTTTATCCGCACTCAATCACGCAATTTCTTTTGGATCAAATATTTAATTTTATTTATTGTTTTATTGCTTTAAAGTATTTTCTTAATTTTAATTTCAATTAATTCCAATACTTCGTAATAAATTAAAAACTTGATTGAATTTTGTTTCTCAAATTTTTACTTTTTCACAAATTTTGTTCTTAGATAATTTTTCGCAAATTTTGCCTCAAAAATTTGAAAATATTACAAACCGTAACCCTCCGTGATTGTATGATAAAAATACAAGTGGAATGTTTATGTGACATGTATATATATATATATATTTTGTACTTCTAAATTTTTACATTGTCACAGATTTTACTTCTATATATATATATATTGCAAATTTTGTGTCTCAAATATTAAGAACGTTGTCAACAATAACTCTTCGTACTATAATTTATATGATTGTAATCTATATCCACTGGTCAAAAAATGACTATAATTTATATGATAGTAAACAACTATTATGAATTTGTATTTATATTTATATAAAATAACTAAAAAATATTACATAATTCAGTAAATTAATATAAATATCCATATTTATTTATTAAATTAGACACTCTGACAGATTTTTCAATAGGAAAGGATTATTTATTCCAACCTTTTTCCATAGTCATAATCAGTGGTGGAGCCTAAATGGGTATGGGACAGGCCAAGCCATGGCCACTAATTCTGATGGCTTTAATTTTAAATTCATAAAAGCATTCAGGGAGACCCTAAGCATAGATATTTGTCGCTTCATGAATGAATTTCATGTTAATAGGAAACTTCCAAGAGGATCCAATTCTACTTTTATTACTTTTATACCAAAGAAAGATGACCCCTAAAATTTGGAAGATTATAGACCCATTTCGTTGGTTGGATGCATGTACAAGATATTACCCAAAGTCCTTGCAAATAGAATTAAAAGAGTGCTATCGTCAATCATTGATGAGCAACAAAGTGCATTTCTTGAAGTATGGCTAATGCTCCATAGTGTTCGGGTGGTGAATGAGATTATAGATGAGGCAAAAAGATACAAGAAACCCACGATATTCTTTAAAGTGGATTTCGAGAAGGCCTATGACTCCGTATGTTGGCACTATCTTCTATACATGCTTCATCGAATGGGATTTAATGATAAATGGGTGAGGTGGATTAAAGAATGCCTAAGCTCATCAAAGGTATCTTTACTCATCAACGGAAGCCTCTCAGAAGAATTTCCACTTAAGCACGGACTTAGGCAAAGTGATCCTGTAGCACCTTTTCTCTTTATGGTGGTTGCACAGGGATTGACGGGGTTGATGTGTGAAGCTGAGAAACGCAAAATATTTACAGGGGTGAGTGTTGGTAAAAAAACAAGTCAAGATTAGTATTGCATAATATGCAAGTGATACCATGTTTTTTGGTGAGACTAGCTAGGAGAATGTCATCGCCATAAAAGGTATTTTAAGATGCTTTAAGATTATTTCTGGGTTGAAGGTTAATTTTTCTAAGAGTAAGTTCGATGCTATTGGGGTTAATATACCTTTAGTTGAGAGTTATGCACACCTATTAAATTGCACTTTACTACATATACCTTTTTGCTATCTTGGTTTTCCCATTGGTGCAAATCTAAGAAAAAAGGCCACATTGGAGCCCATTCTTGTTAAACTAAGGAAGAAATTTTTGACTTGGAAGGGCAAAGTGTTGTCTATGGCTTAGAAGTGTGTTTGGTGAACTCAGTATTAACAGCATTACCATTATATTATATTTCATTTTTCAAAGTTCCTGGGTCGGTTAGTAGAGAGATAATTTCAATACAGAGGAAATTCTTATGGGGATGCAACGATGGTCAGCGAAAAGTATATTGCATAAATTGGGACAAGGTGACTTTGCCTAAAGCACAAGGAGGGTTGGGTGTGAAAAATGTCACCCTATTCAATACGGCGATGCTGGCCAAATAGAGATGGAACCTATTCCATCTTCCTTTATCTGGTTGGGGCCAAGTTTTACTATCTAGATATGGTGATGGAAGTAATCTTTATGCTCAAAACCCTTCCAACAAAGATTCTATATGGCGGAGAGACTTGTTTATCGTGTGCGAGGGAGAGAAGGAAGGAAACTGGTTTGATAAGATGATAGAATGGCGAGTAGGGGAGGGGTTTAGAGTGAGATTTTGGCTTGACAAATGGGCTGGTCCAACGATTTTTGCAGTAGCCTATCTGAGAATTTTGATTAATTTTGCTCATCAACATTCTTTAATTGCAGAGTTAGGGTCATGGACGGACCGAGGATGGAAATTAATGGCAACTTCGGTGGATAAGGAATAAATTCGTGTGGGAAGCTTCACAAGAGGAATAACTATATCAGACAATAAGGGGTATCAATTTCCATAGAGCGAAACAAGATTCATAGAGGTGGTTAGGTGATTCTTCGGGAGAGTTCTCTGTTAGGACGACATATAAATCTTTACTTGTTGAATATGCTAGTGTCAAGGATGATGAATTCTCCAATAGTATTTGGTTAACTCCAGTACCTCTAAAGGTCCAAATTAATGTGTGTGGAGAATGGTAAATAAGGGTCTTCCATCGGTGGAAAATTTGGAAAGAAGAAACATAACACTTGGTGGACAACAGTCCTTGTGTCAATTTTGTAAAGGTGTAGCTGAAACCTCTAATCGTATTTTTCGCACAAGCCCTAAGGTGGACAAGATAAGAAACAGTGTTTGTCTTGGATCAGGTGCCCTACTCCGCTACCACAACAAGTAAGACAACATTACAACTTTATTCCAGGCCCAATCATGTGTAAATCTGATGCGGTATCCTGACATGTAGTATGGATGGCTACTACCTGGAACATATGGAGACATAGAAACAGGTGTATCTTCGAAGGGCACCAATTTAGTCATGAAAATATCATAATAGATATCATGTCTTCTTGCTAGAGGTGGCTCTTAACACTTAAAAAATACTTTAGTTACTCTTTTGTGCATTGGTGCAGCAATCCTGAACCTTGCTTGTGCTCGAACAAAGTTTGAAGTGTTCAATAACTAGTTGGGTCTATTTGGACCTATTGGAGTTATGGTTCTTCAAAAGTAGTCTACTATTTTGGTATGGGAGAAGGGGTATAAACAAGCCATGACAAACCTAATTATCATGTAGGGGTGAGCATAGAACCGAGATCCGAACCGAACCTAAAAAATCCGATAAAAAATATTACTTTTGGGTGGGTTCGGACAGGTTTTATGGGTAAATCGGGTTAAAATTTTGATTTTATACGGGTTATATTGGGCGGGTTTGGTTTTAAATTTTTAAACTCGCTAAAAACTGAACCCAACCGAAAATGAGATAAGTTTATATTTTTATTACTTTTGTATAACTAAACAACAATGATCCAAACTCAAAAGTCTTTATTTCAAGTATAATATAGCCATCAATTTGTAACTTTTTTTTTCTTTTTCTCATAACATATCATAGATAGTAGTAATTCAAGTACAACTTATATGTGCATAAGTACATCAATATAACTAATACGATATAAATTTATTTAAAAAAAATGAGTATGTTAGCAATAGGGGTGAAAATAGACTAACTTTGATTAAAAATATATAATTTGTCTAATTTATTTTCTTATTCTCTGTCTTTTTCAATATGTCTCACGTGATCTATATATGATTTTGGCTTGACTTACAAACTTGTTCATAATTTGATGTCAATGATTTAATTGAAAAAAAATAAAAATAGCTATGTTAGGTTTTGTAAGCATATTTTTAAGATTTAATATGAGATTAATAATAAATTATTTAAAAACACATTTTGCAATAAGACATTATGTCTAATACAAATTATAATCATATCAAGCATATGAAATAAGAATTTTAACTTATATGAATATTAGTACACATTTAAAAGAGCATTTATAATCATGTAAAAATATAGCCTAACAAAAGGTTATAATTAATAAAACTTTAAAAATTTAGGGGACAAAATTTGTGACAAAGTAAAAAATTTAAGACATAAAATGCAATTAAACTTAATATTACATTAATATTTTGTTTGTATTTTATGGAACAATCGAAGAAGAGGTATAATTAGTTACATCTTAAAAATTTGGGAGCCAAATTCATCCAAAAAATATTTAATATATATATAAGGATAAAATTCATGATAAAGCGAGAGTTTAGAATATAAAATGCAAAGAACTCTAAATTAAATATATTTCATCTTTTAGATAAACTATATTTTAAAATTTATTGTACTTAATCAATTGTAAAATAAATTTTACTTTTCGAATTCGATTTTGAAATATTATATTAATAATGATTACGCATTTACACATCTTAATTTTTATAATTAATTTTTGTTTTAACAATTTCAAAAATGTTATCTCTTTAATCTATTTTTATTTATAAATTTTAATTTAATTATAGTTTTATCTTTTTAATTTTTAATAAGTAATTTTAGTTTCATTTTCCTAATTTTCAAAATTACATAACTTTAATTTAGTCTCATTTGTTAAATTGTCTGTCTATGATTGTAAACTTCATTATTTAAATGACTAGGTCGCTTAAAATATTGTATATAATATTATTGCATGACTTAATTGTTTTCTTAAACTTCTTATTTAATGTATTTAATGTTCACGTCATCACTTGATGATCATATTATCAATATCAATTCATATGAATCACCACACCTTCAGGATAGTCCATGCCAACATTAAAAGTGTTATGTGGTCCTTAATTAACGGTTAATGCATAGATTAAAAAAAACTTAAAATTGCAAAATTTTAAAAATCAGACACCAAAATTATGTAATTTAAAAAGTGAAACTAAGTGTGATTGAAAAAACATTGCAATCATGAATATAAAAATATGATTCAAGATTAGATTTTCTTAATTATTAATAAAAAACACTTATACTACAAAAAAAAAAAAAAAAAAAAAA